ATATTGCATTCTTTTGTTTGCAAACTTAGGGATTGCTGTCTAAAGATGTAAGAGAAAGCAAAACAATATTTGGAGGATAAAGGAATCCTGAGGGCTTTTGACAAGTCCTTTGTTTCACTGTCTAATGATGAACATTCATGTTTCAAGACTGTTTAGAATTTAACTTCCAGCTGTGGAAGTAACAAATGAAATTATGCAACTTTGGTAACATTTTTCCTCAAACATAAATTTACTTTTGAGATTGAATGGGATTTTGTGTGTGGGGGGGGTTAATTTAAAGAAAGATCTAAGCCCAAGTCCCATTTTCTGCACTTAAAAAGATATAACTGTGTAAAATCCTTCTCTTAGATATAAATATTTTAGTTTGTTTTTATTTAAAACATTGTACTATTTTACTTTTATGGTGGTGGGACTTTGCTACTAATACAAGGATAAAAAAATATTTCGGAGGCATTCCACTGGGTTTAGAGTCTGTCACAAGAGTGCCATATTCTAGCTGCTGTATTTATTTACTTTATCCTGCAATGTGTAAGCGGCTCAAGTACCTTGTGCTACAGGTTTTTTGTATCCCGAGGTTTTTTTTGGTTTGTTTTTTTTTTTTTGCACAGGATGTGACCGCTGTTGGATCACTGTTTTTCTCTTCTTTTTCTGTGATTGAAAAGCCTATACTGCAATTTGAAGTAAATGTTTGCTTTTCTTAAGTGTGTTGTCTCTTTGTTTTAAAAGAAACCGGCATTTACACCAGATTAGTATGCTTGTTTTGATATAATTTAGATATAAGCTTTGTTTCATGCCTTGTTCCATATTTAGTTTAGCTTATGACTGTTAGATCACTTGAGTGATTACAAGACAGTACTGTTACTGAAATGATTTGTAGTGTGTTGAATTAGAAAATGAATGCACTAATACTCACTCTAATGGCAAAAAACCACACCCCTCTTTCAAAGAAGCTTGGTTTTCTTTCCTCTTCCTTCTTCCACCCTGATCATAAAAATAAACTTTTTACTGGTAGTGTAACTTAGAATTTTAACCTACAGAATTACTTTTTGTGGCTAGAAAAGCATTATAATAGATCCGTGTATTGATCTGCTAAAAGTATTTTTAATATATGATAATGTCTGAATACTCTGAATATTCACTCATTGGAAACAGTGTTCTTCCTCAAAATAGACTTGCAGCTGTTGTCATCAGTGTCTTCTCATCAGAGTAGGATTCATCATCCCTTGAGGAAATGCAAGGAACAATCACCTAGGGAATCTTGAAAAGAGGATGTCTAAGATCTCTAGGGGGAGTGGGAGGCATAACGGTGTCTCTTTTGCTTGAAAGCACGTGGATACACATCTTTTCACTCTACCCTGAAAGTGTAGCATTGGCGTTGGCTCTGGGCCATGCTGTCGCGGTGGTCGTCCTGTCGGTTAATGAGGAATTGTTGTAAACAGGCACTGGGATATTTCTGCACTTCCCTTGTGGCTTGCTCCACATGCCATGCTCAGAATCTGGGGAGTTCAAGGCATTTTGGAAAGCGCTGTATGAATTTCTCTGCTAAGAGGTAATTTTAGTTGTTCTCTTCTTTTTTCCTTCTGGAGACTCCCAGACTTAGTCAGGAAGTGGGGCTGCAGGTGGGACATGAGTGCACCATTGAGTCTGCTTTACACGTGCAATTCATCCATTGCTCTGGCTGACCCTGGGCCTGCTCAATATGCACGTAGTACCTGGACTGCCAATGTCCTGGAGATGTCATTGTGTAAAGGCAAAGACTGCAGCATGCAGCCCTCATCTCTTCCTGCAGGATGTTATGTGAACCACTGAGATGGTAGGGCCTGAACAAGATGACTTCTTGAAGACATGCTCTCTTCTTCAAGCAAGTTTCTTATTTCCAGTAGTTCTGCCTTTTGGAAGTTGAACAGATTTGTCAGTGGTCCTTCTGGTTGAACTATTACCATCTTTGGCAAGTGGGGCTGTAGCTGGTCAGTATTGTTGTAGTGTGTTCAGTATTTCAATACAATTTCAGAATACTTCTATTAATAAAATCCTTAGTATTCTTCAGTGAAGACAGGTAGTAAAAATTGACAATGCATGCTGATGAAGAATCTCTTGAATGAACTTAGGTTTTGAGAAAGTACAGCAACTATACCTTTCACATAGTAAGTCTTAACTTGTTGATATTCTTCCATGGGATTTGACTGCTTTGTGTTCTGCACTTGGTCTTGGAGTCCCAGAAATCCAGGTAAGTACAGAAGTGCAGACGAATGCCAATTTGTCGTCTTAGCTTGGAAGTGTTATTGCCTAGTGTTTAAATACATTTTATGAAGTACCCCTTTCCCAGCGCAAGTCTCACTTCCTGAATAAGGTATGTCAGTCTCTTAAGAACAATTTTGCCTTCTTGCAGAGTGGACTTAATTGAATGCAATTCACTTTAAATATGCCAAACTAAGTTTTGCTTTGTTTTCCAATGGAAGATGAAACAATAACCTAGCTCAATCTCATTTATAAAAAATGCTTGTGTATTCCATTGCCATTTTTTTGGCTCCACTCTTGATCATTACCATCTAGCAGCAAGTTTGAGAGATTTTTCTGCAGAGCAATTGAATCACTAGTGGGATCTTTCCACAAAAATTAGAGGCATTACATGTGGGGTGAAAATAGACACCAACCAAGGAATTTAGTTGCTCTTACTTAAGCATGGAATAAAGAACTTTTCAGTTTTAATAAGTAAAGGCCCTTTATTTTTTTATTTTTCCTACAAAGAAGATTGAAAACTTATAATGACTCAAAAAGGAAAACTGGAACACTTGATTGAAATTCTGTAACCCTAGTAACAGTAATTATTTTCTTCAGCATACAGGACTGGTGCTTGCAATGAGGTGCATTTCGTTTTTATCAGCAACAAAGAACAGCTGCATTCTGCACTGAGAACACATTTCCAGTAGAGTAATTCTTATTCATTGAGTCAGCGCTCCCAAAGGTATTCTCAAAATGCCATGTGATCATAGCAGCATTTTTATCCGAAAGTGGAATATTTGAGTTCATCCCAGTCTTCTGAACTATCTAATTGAAGATACTGCTTCTCAGCCAGTCTCCAGAATTTATGTTCTCCAGCAGTTTTCCAGTATGGGATTCAGAGTAAATAAATATCTCTCTTCTCACAAAGTGGAATCAAACATGCTTGTATTTTTATATTTCAGACTTATTTTAAATGTGACTATTCCTGATGATTAAAAACCGTAAGGAAATAAAAGCTTGGTAAAACGAAACATGCATGATTGTAATGGATCAGAGGATGATTTGGATAATTAAGGATTTTGGATAATCAAGGATTTTAGTTACTAAAATCAAGAACTTTAACTGTAACCCCTTTCAACTTAAAGTCACCTGATGAAAATGTGACTTTGCAGACTGCTGCAAATTGAAGTCTATTTAGAAATGGGTTGTAAAGGTCTAGTAGTTTGCTGTCGAGTTGAGCATAGGTGCCATCTGCTGGTAGTTATTAATAAGTAGCGGTTTTGTACTGGAAGACTGTATCTCAAAAATACTCATTAATTTAATAGACATTATAAATCTATTCTTTTCTCATTGAATATATTATGGTGATATCAAGACTCAGCTGTATGATATCAGAGACCCTTCCTGTAAGTCACAAGATCTAGTGAGTTACTTCCATGTGGATAGCTGTTAGATAGGGGACGTAACCAGGACTGAAAACTGAGCACACGGTGATGCCGGAATCAGACTTGAATTCTGGTAAGTAATGGGCCAAACTTTAATGATTAAAGGTGGAAATTATTATTTTCCTGAATGTAAGACAAGGTATATGGATTCTTGAGGAGAAAACCCACAAACGCAGTAATTAGATTTCGCATGGGGATGACACTGGAAAAACAACAGTTTTCTAAGAGAAGCATTTATGTGAATTGACTAATTTTGCTGGAAGGTTAGCTAATACAAAGCACTGAGAAATACTGATGGTGCAGGATGTTTTAAAATATAAATTGTTTTTCAGTATTACTGTGTTGATAGTAAGGGTTTGTCAAGTAACTTAGTGTACATTGGGGCAAGTTAAACAGGTCTGTTTGTTAATTTTATAGCCATGAGAGAAAGGAGGTTAACTTGAATGACAGCAGTTTCTTAACGGCAGAAGAGCATACAAAATTACTCTGAATTAGCAAACCTGCTAAAACTTGCTACCATGTGATAGCTTTGTGTATGCATGTAAGCATTTAACTCTTGCGTATCAAAGGGGGGGAGGGAATAGAAGCTGAAGTTTCTCCCTGAGTATAGTTTAGTATCTATAATACTGCCAGCAGAACTTACTCAGTTATCACTGAGTAAACCTAGCTCTCCCTGAAAGTACAAATGCTCTACTTGTGAAGACTGATACGACAATATTTTTAAACTTGTCAGTTTCCATTTTAATCTGATCTGTAAGACTGCAATCACTGTTCCTCAAACACAAACTTAAAAATGGGATTTTTTGGAAGTTAGAAGTGTTCAGGGAGATGAATAGCCAACTAAAAACGTTCAGGAAAACAGTTCCTCTAAAATAGTCCAGCTCTCAAATAGTCCAGTGCTGAACAACTTTGCTCATTTCCAATTAGACTGATATCTTTAAAGAAAAATAAAACACCACAACTTTTATAAAGCAACTCTTTTATAATTAGTTACAAAAAAAGTAAATACAAAAATTCCCTGAAGCAAGAATTGTTGGTAAAGATTGAATCAGGAACTTGTGTGAAAACAGCTGAGAAAATTCCCATAGTCACATATTTTAACACAATTTCTTCCATCTGCGTGGCATTAAAAGTTACTTCAGGAATAACTCTTTCAGTCATCCACTCCAAGCGATGCAAACCTATTAACATGGCATAAATACTGAGTTTCTGGTACAGCACGTCTGATGGCCTTTTTTTTCTTACTAGATGCTTTCTTCTTTTTGCAGGACTCAGATTTGGTCTTGGTCATCTCCTGAAAGAAGTCTGGAGATACAGTTGACTCCACCGTATTTAACAAAACCTGATAAAGCTGAGTCATTTTTGGAGATGAACTAAACAGATTTTCCACTGAAGGTGTTGATTTAAGCTCTTGATACAGCCTGTGCACAAGGGTCCCATTGTAAAGCCTGCTCAAAGGAAGGAGAGAGTGGTCGTTTAGCAGGTGCAGGTCATCCTGCACCTCAGCAGGACAAGTACAGAAACACGCTGCTTAGTGAAAAAACAGATCTTAAACTACATACAGGATCCAACAGTGGGCTCCTGAGGGATGCCTATTCTACTCAGTATTTTTCTCCTATCTTTAAAGAAGGGAGTTCAAATATAGTAAAATTGGCCAAAGGAATTTGACACAGAAAACAAAACAACATATGAACACATTTCATCAGGGGCTTGCGTGGAAAGCAGATCTCTGAAACATCCTTACCTAGTCAGGTCTGGCTCAGAGAGAGGAGTGCAAAGTAGCTGGTTGAGATACAATCCCATCTGAAGACAGCACTGCCACTGGCAAAAACTGTGCGCAGCATCTAAATCAAAGCCTGTATTTTGCAATTTGTTTTCCTTCCATTTTAGAAATTCGTTATATGCAATACTGTCACCTTCAGCATGTACGACTGTGGGATCTAGGTTATAAATAAAAAATGACATGCAAATAAATGTTCTGCTGTAAGCAGTATGAAAGGTATCTGCGATGTATAGAGTCTTCACATCTCCAGTTCTATTGCAGGAAGCATTAGTAATGTTTTAAAGTGTCTCAAACTGAACTTTAAGACATAAAATTGAGTAAAAATTCAAGTATCAATATCCACGAGGATCTGAAATTGTGAAATCAGGAATTCTATTTGTTAGGTAATTTGCTATGCTGTTCTGTGAGTGGATCAATTCCAAACAAGATTTCCATCTCACTCCTACCCACTTGGGATGCAGGTGGCAACCACGTCAGTCAGTATCTATAAACTAGAACCTAAAGAAACTGCATAATCCTGGCATGTGTAATCTTTGCCATCAAATGAAGGACTCCTAGAGGAAATGCCACCATAACTCTGTTTCAGTAATATTTATACTTATTAATTTCTGTGATAATTTAGTACTTTCAAATTCTCTCAATGCACAGTGCCTGTGTAACTCAGGATTTTTAAGTACAGATGATTTTAGAAAATATCATGAGAAAAAATATCAGAATGCATCAATAGTAGTGATTCTCTTTTGATGCATTAGTCTCTTAAGCTTATTTTTTGTAACTTTTGTATCTAAATTGATCTTTTAATCCTAAAGAAAGCATTTATAAATGCAAATTAATGTTTTACAAGATGGCAAAGCACTGTTTTACATACATAAAATGTTAAACTGATGGCTAGCACTGTTTCTCTGCTCTGTATCAATGCAAAGAATGTGACACCTCAGGATATGGTGTAAATCAATTCATCTGAATTTGGATAACTCACCATAAATTAGGAAAATTGAATTATGGTATAGATTTTCATAGTAGCTGAACATTTAAAATTGTATTCTTTGGAGACATACCTGGATCATTTGTTATCCTGTGCAGTTCTCCAGACACTATCATCAGAAGTAAAGCCTTTAATTGATGCAACTTAACTTTTGGTTCTGAACAACATATCCAGTAACACGTTACAGCAACAGGGAGTTGTAAGTGACTGGGGATAGATTCTAGGAAACTCATTTTCACTCCTAGAGTCTCCAGCAAAAGCATCTGACGGCATGACATGGGCACCTGAAAAGAAATTAAAAAACTGGAGTGGAAAAATAAAGGTAACAGACTTTATTTGCTGTGAGCAATTTCCAAATAAGCTTGTGTTTAAAGTAGCTAGTACTTCATGTTTTCGATAAAAACTTAAATAAGTTTCATGGATATTCTTAACAGGAACTATTTTTTAAATTCTATTTAACTTTTAAAAACTTCATACTTAAATGTTAGGTAGAAGGATAAAAGTCATTTTTTACAATTGCCTGAGGTTAGATTTTAAGGGGTTTCAGAGTCGTCTTCAAATCAGGTGACTGAATTTGAACTCCTATGTAAAAGTTGGCTTGCTTGGAAAACCTTGTAACCATAATGCATTAAAATTACTTTGGTACGGCAAATATATGTACATAGATATAAAAAACTTTATTTTGTGCCTCTCAGAAGTTAGCCTTGCTTTGTGAGCTGTAATGGTGACATCTGGTCTTGGTATGTTGAAAACACGCTTACCTGTAATCACAATGAAATATTAAGTGTGAAGCGTGCATTTTTCACCTGTAACGTATTAATTCCTAGCACATGTTCCCTCTTTGTTGTGCTATTTAACTTCTAAAAAGTGGTGTTATAAACTTTGTCCATAACTTCATGCGTGCAGCAGAATCGCAGCAGGCTGTTCAGTTGTAATCAGAGTGCTTTGTGAACTTTGATTAGGATGTTTTTGCCTATTCTTAGGCAGACATCCCCACAGTAGAAGACAAACTGAAATCAGTTTGCCTAGAGCACTTTAAATGCAGCGTAACTTTTCTTCTTCTAACCTTCTGTTGAATTGATAATTCCTATATATTTAGTAAGGAGAGTTGTTGTAATAGCAGAAGCTCAAATTCATTAAACAAACAGCATACATACCAAGACCAAATTAAGGTGTCATTAATGTTTCTTAAAATCCCCAAACATGATTTTTCAAACTCTTAAGTGTTTGCATATTGTTCCTGTAAAAGGCCGGTAACAACAACCTGTGTAAAATAACCTGTATGTAGGCCTTTGGATCCATAGCTATCTGTAGCATTTAATGCTCGTAGTAGTGACAGACTTGGTTCTTACATGAAATAGCCACCAGCAAGTGATAAAAATGTATAGCACAGCCCACACGCAGAGATGAGTTAACAGTTGATCTGAATGCCAGAATGGATAGAGCATGTAGCTTAAATATGCAGCATTAGAAGACACAGATTGTATTTCCAGATGTTTCAGAAATTACTGTGTACAAAACCTCAATTATGCAACTCTAGGAATGGGAGATTACTTTCCATTCACAGCAAGAGTTACACTCTTAATCATTAGTATTTAAATATACAGAATTGCTAATGGTGATTGGGACTAACCTAGCACAACTTTCCTTTGATTAAAAGCTGTTTTTCAGGTGCCGTTCTGTCTGGCAAGTAGCAGGGGTCCACGTTAGCAGGACGCATACTTGCGGCAGGTAAAATTGCTGGGCAGCTGCAAGATTCATACATGACATAATGGTGATTTTTAGTAAAAAAGCATAGGTCAGATTTTGTTTCAGAACATTGCTCTGAAACATCTATAGCTTGATGAAATATAAATTTTGTACTGTTGAATTGCACTTTTCTAAATTTCATGAAACTGAGTTCCTTCCTATAGTTATAAAAGCAAGTATTAAAGTAACAGAATACATAGGATGAAAGAAGGGCTTACAATGGAAAATTTAGGCAGTGCTACATATACACACAACCAAGTTTTCATATAATTTCTTTTGGTACACTTGGGGGGGGGGGGGGGGGGGAAAGACGAAGAAATAAACATATGTGCTTCTTTTGGTACACTTGGGGGGGGGGCGGAAAGGGAAGAAGATAAAGGCAATCGATGTAGCTTCTCAAGATCACAGGCCAAGCTCAGAGCCCTGCAGGGACCTCTGTATTAAGTAGTTACTTACTGAGGTGGCTTAGTTCAGGCGCCACATTTAGCAACAGGTTGTCAAACATGAGTCCCAACTACTTTCTGTCACTCGTGAAACACTGTTAACTGTGATCTGTTGTGACAACCATTTACCTTCATTAACTTGTCCAAAGGAAAATGATCATCACAAAAACCTGTGGGTAGGCTTGCTGCTTGAACAAATGTTTTTTTAAGTGTCTTTTGGAGTCTGTCAAATTCGCATACAACAGGCAGCTCGTTGGTCTGCTTCCCTGGAGAAGCAGCTTCAGTATTTTGAGATACTTTCAGCAGCAGTCCATAGATAACTTGTCGAATGGGCAAAGCTGTGCTATGTGCGCTAGGTCTCTGCATGTCCTCCACCTGAACATGGAGGAAGGTACTTCTTAGTATCAGGGCATCGCTGATGAACGGGGCCAGCTTACCTTTTGCCAAAGCATCTAGTACCCACTGCGGTAAGTCTGCTTTCCTGGCTGCCTCGCATTCATACTTTCCATTCTGAAAAAAGTCCTCAAGGTTCACGTCCGACGGAGTATAATCCTCCATCGAAGTGCACAGCAGCTCCCTGATTTCTTCCCTCTGGTGTTTCTTGAGGTACTTCAGCACGTTGTCGACGGCCTCGGTGGGCTCGGCGAACTGCGCCAGCCAGCGCAGGAGCCCCTGGAGGCGGGCGCGCCTCCCCTGCTTCCCCGCCCCGCCGCCCCTCGGCAAGCGCACCTTGCTGAAGAACACCTCGAGAGCCGCCAGCTCGACATAGTCGTTGCCGTTCATGACGGCGAAGAGAGGGAGCAGGCTTCTGTTCAGGCGGCTGAAGTGCCTGCAGAACTTCTCCACGAAAAAGCAGCGAGCGGGAACGTAGCAGCCCTGCGCCCCCCCTGCCGCGCAGACGCTCTGCCACTGGAAGTGGCTCAGCGGGCAGTAGCCGGCCGCCAGGTCGAAGACGCAGAAATCGCTATCGAGGGAGAGGACGGGGCAGCCCCAGCGGTTGGCCAGGCCGGC